AGCAGCTGACATGGAAAGGGGATTCTGGAGACAGTCTAGCCCAAACTCCCTGTTCAAAACAAGGACAGCTGGACCACGGTACTCAGGATCACATCCAATTGCGTTTTGTGTATCTCCAAGGGTGGAGACCACATAACCTCTCCTGAGAGCCTGTTTCAATGTTCAACCAACTCTCAGAGTAAAAAAGCTTTTTCTTATTTCTCACCACTCTCTAGCAAGGGAGAGACTATTTCCTAGTATGGTTCTCCCATCTGGTCTGTCCACTGTGGAAGGAATGATCCCAGTAACAGCTCCCCTCAGTGTGCAGGTCATCTCTGCTGGCCTGGAGAACAGCGCCAGACTGTCTGGGTCACGACTCCAAAGGCTGCAGGTGATTCCAAGAGTCTGAGGAAGGTCAGAGATGTGGCACAACTGCAGGCATCTGGCTGTATTAACTTACAAAGACCAGTCTGTGGTTAAAACAGGCTCTGGATGCTAGGCTGATGATAAGTGTTTCCTCAAGGAAGGGGCTGCCTAGTGGCATAACTGGAAGAAGGGAAGTGCGGGAGCTGAGGGGACAGATAGCACATAGTAAGCACAACATTCCAGATTTACTGGAGGGAGGGAGGAAGGAATTCAGTAGCCAATCAAGTGAATCAGAGACATGCCATGTATTTCTTGGAACTAATCAAGCTTACATAAAGGAAAACAATTGCATTTTTGGATAACAATTTCCCTATATTGCATTTGCCCCAGTAAAACATGATGAAAGAGCTACTGTTTTTCCAAACATCCATCTTCCCATCCATAGCCAACCTGGCATTTCCTATAATACTTCAATAAAGCTGTTGCACTCCTTTTTACCCTCTTAGATAATCTCAAGCGCCATGACCATCCCTTTGGCTGCCAGGTATTACAGACCAGAATTGATGAACTCCAGCATGTTTCACTCATCAAAAACTTGCTCTTCTAGCTCAGAATATGGTGCAATTTGTACCATATTTCTCATAGTGATGGGAAAGGGACAGGAAGAAATCTAGTAAGTGCCTTTTGATCTACAAGAATCATCAGGAGTTGTCAAAATGGGAGGTTAAAGCAAACAGCAGCTGTATGACACTGCAAACCTCACACCTATCTAATTCTCAACGTTACTGCTGCTCTTTGCTATCTTGCTTGCGAGAAGGCTGATGAGCTCAGAAACCAGACCCATGATGCCAACAATGCCTGAAAATGTGCCTTTCCAGCCTACTTTCCCACAAGACAAAGGTCTGACTATGGTGTCGCACAGAATCAGACAAAACCTTCTCAGCCCCTTGCTCGCAGCCATAGCACACTGAACTTAACATGCATAAAGGGGAGCATTTGATGCCAGCTTTCTCATGGAGGAAAAGACCAGAACTCACTCACTGCTGCAGAGGCCTATGCTAAAAGCTGAACGGCTGTAGGCCCCTCAAACTTTGCAAAACAACTGTGTAGCATCTCTCCATCTTCAAGGCAACATGGCCACGGTGCCTTGTCCTCCATATCCTCTCTACAGAGATGGAGCAGAACAGCACCAGCAGCCAAGAGCATAACGTTCTTACACAATACGATTCACCCTCTAGTGGCTGACACAAGACCTATTTACCTGCACACAAATTTGGGTAGCCTCTGGCCAGGTGAGTAAATTCTGTCCAAGTCTGGATGGTGTTTTGCTTTTCTGACAGTTACGCTCTTCTTCCAGTATGCTCTTCTAATGAGTCAATAAAACCAGACGGTTTAGACTACATAAAAGCCAGTACACAAATACATGGTGGAGGATCGGTGTAACACATTCTAAAACAGAGGAGTCCCCACCTTACAGTTGCATACCATGATGCAGGAAATTAACAAGCACATGAAACAGAAGGCAAATTTAACAAGTTTTATTAAAATTACATATAAATTACATTCCTATGTATTATGCATGATTGTAGTTAGATACATCCCATTCTACCTTGAGTGAAGATGTTAATTTCTATGAAAACGTGGCTGAAACAAGATGAAACTTGTGGCTTCATAAATAGGTGAGGCCGCAGCTGAAAAGAAACACAAATCTAATAGGTCACATAAAACAAATAAAATGGTTTGACTGCCTGCATTGCTTCAGGTTTCCATAATTTCCCTGCAGGAAAAGCCAGACAATGCTGACATCAGTGTAGTTTTGCCACAAATAAGGGATTTGGACCCATCATATCCCCCAGCAATTCCCGTAAATGAGAGGTGTTTTTTCAAGCATGCTTCTTGACAGTCCCTATTTATGCTCCTTTGCATCACCAAGAGGCCTCAGAGCATGTAAACTACATTGCTTCCAGGAGAAACCAGATCAGAATACTTGTTCCAGCTGCTATCAGGAAAACTTCACAAAGTAGTACAAAATAGAGGCTCCCAAAATAGACATGATGCAGACCTGAGGTCCTCTTCAGCCCCCTCCTCCTGGCTGCACTGTACTGGCATTCAGCAATAAAGGTGAATCAGGTACTGCATCTCTCTGAGTAGATACTCAAGGGCTGGTAGTTCCTTAAGCAAGTGACAAGTTCTTTTTTCCTGCTTTGTGTGCACCACTTCAGAGGATGCATTTACTGCAGCCCTTGATACAGTGCAAAATGCTTAAGGCTTTCTGCTTTTGTACCCAACAGGAAAGTCCACAGATGCAAAATAATTTATTTGGACATCTACTTACCTATTTTGGGGAAACAGTGAGGTAGCTGGGATTTTCAAGCCTAAAAATATTAAGTTTCCAAGTTATAATTAAATCCCTGGGATGGGGAAACCATTATGCCGTTTGAAAACCCAAGCCTAAAGTGCCCGCGAACTGGAAATCCATGACATCTTGTAATGATGCTTTTCTTCATGAAGATCAAATTTTATTCTGTGCTGGTAGGACAGCTGTTACCAGCAAGAAAATACATAATGATATGTACTTGTCATACATTGCTTTTAAGCTTCCTCCACAGTATACTTCAAATCCATGTTCTGCTTAAGGAACTAAAATGAGATGTGCTGGGCTCAGACCTACAGAACTAGTCTGCCACTTTTTAATCCTTACATAGAAATTAGGCCACCAAGTTTGGTTTCTGAAGCTTACAACATTCCACAAGAAAAACTCCCTGAGAAGAAGAAAAAACCAGAATTAAGTGCCAGGTTTCCTGATACACACAAGTACAGAACGCACAACAGCTGCATACCCTCATCTTTCACACAGACCTTCTCTGGGCATCCAAATATTCCAGTACCTCCAGTGAGGCTGTACGAAAGCATGGATCTCTGTACTGGCAAGCAACCAGATCACATAATGTTTGCTCAGAATACTTCTGTTAATTCAATGGATTGCTGCTCTGTTTGGCAGTGTTTGCAGCAAGCTGCACAGACCAGAGGGGATCCCCTAACTGCCATCAACTATGTCAACTGACTTGTACTCAATTTGGACAGCACTTTGATCCTAGGACTGTAATCACTGAAGGCCTGTTTCCCCAGATCTTATACTATGACCATGCTGAAAGCCTGCTGTTTGCCTTATGCCTGTCATAAGATGCTTGCTTGCCTATCATGCTGCACCAGCTCTGAGTCTTGGCAGTGTGGCTGGTATCTCCTTTGCCAAGTTCTTTCTCTTCTGACCATAGAGGAAAAAGAGATCAATTTGAGTGGCTCATTATCTAGCAACTACGACCGCACCGTTTGCTGTTGTCAGGATCAGCATCCTTATGAAGTGCTGGAAGGAGTCTGCAGACACACCAAGGAAAACATCCTCACCAGCAACAGGCAATTTCTGCTGCCAGGGTATGGAAAGTGTTTGGGATCTACCTTGCAGATGGAAATATGGGCTCCTGAAAACATGAAGTCAGAGAGAATATGAAGTTTGTGAGGTCAAGATCGAATGAGTTACCTATGCTCTGGAAATGAGACACAGGCAATTCTTACTTCCTCACAGAAGAGAGGGATCTTTATATAGGATTACTGGGTCAGTCAGAAGTTCTGCCCTGCTCTGAAGGAGGCAGGTATTTCCACCATAACACAAACCCTTTTTTTTTTTAGGATGCATCTGAAAATGAACATATTAAATTTTGAAGACTTGAGAACAGCATTCACAAGAATAAGCAGTCTAAAAGGTTGGAGGTTTTGGCAATGGTTGTACTGAGATCATTATAATCCTTCATCTTGCATAAAAAGCCATGGAGTTTTATTCAGCAAAATACAATCTGGAAAGTTAAAAATAGAAATTAACCCAAATACTATAACATGACAGACTGATATGAAGGCAAAGCAATTTGTGGTCTTAAATCCAGCCATCACTCTCACAGTAAATGCTGTGGTAGGGGTTGTTCATATGAAGCAATGAGTGGGTGTACATATACTTGTCCAAAAGAAGGTGAACAAAAGTTGGTGTTTTCTACTGATTCCCTTTTCAAGTCAACATAGCAAGGAAAAATTCTCTGTTCATCTAAGTAACAGTCCAATGTGATATTAGGAACCAAGACTTTTTTAAGCCATCTTCCATTCTCCATTAGAGTATGGTCTCTAGAACGATGCAGGAAAAAGCTCAAGAAGAATTCAGAAGTGCAATAGCTTTGGAATCAGGGGCTGGACTGCAGCTGGTGTAGATAGATGGGGCCTTGGGAGTACACAGCAAATGGGTGGGCCATGTTTTAGTTACAGCTTCTCTTGGGTGGTGGTAAATGACTGTTCGGTCTCAAGTGCTTTGCCTGGGTATAAAAGTTGGGGATAACGTATTTGGCCACAGAGAAAAATGGTCAGTATATTGCATATATATATGAAGGCCCTTTGATAGTATACTTCCTGAACAAACAGCTGTCACATGGTTCAAGTCTGTTCCTGTCTGGCTATAAGCCAAACCAATTTCAAGTCCTAGACTGCTCCGAGCTTGCTGGCACTTGACACATGACCACAAGCTAAGCCAGCAGTTGTTTGTAGGGTAACCACACAGCAGAACGTGTCAGAGGAATAGCTGTACATAGCCCACAAAACTTAATCCACTGCCCGTTTCAGATGCCTGTTTTGGAGTTGATCCAGTTTCGATAGTAAGTCACTCTTGTGTATACTCCTGGTTTATTTAGCTTGCCACATTCATCTCCCCAGCTTACTATTCCCACCAGATACCAGATTCCTCTGGAGTTCGCATTCACCAGTGGCCCACCAGAGTCACCCTAAGGAGAAAAATGTCAACAGGCAGAAACAAAATAAACAGGGTTCAGCTCACTAGTGCAACAGAACAATTTGAAGCTTGCTGCAACAGAGATCTGTCTCTAGACCACAGCTATAATTCAACCTCCACACAGTTTACTGACAACACAGAGCCTGACAGCCTATGTCTAAATTCAGCGTCTCCCACTCCACACCCCCACATCTATTCTCTCATGTGTACATTATATATATAAACCCCAAGCATCTAAGTGCAGACTTAGGCCCCTGAAGCATGAAGCTCTTCATTTACATTTTTCAAGATATTTAACCCCATAGACCTAATCAAGATTCCCCAAAGTACATTTTATTTCTAGGAAACATCACCTCCTGCTCCACCTATTTCCTTTTTACTATTATCTATGAAGCGATTTACCTGGCAGGCATCGACCTTCCCCATCAAGTATCCAGCACACAACATTCCAGGTGTTATTACTCCATTGTACACTTCTCTTCTATTACAAGTTGCAGTATTTATAATTTTTATTTCTGCTTGTCGAAGCTGATTAACACTATAGCCTAGAAAGAGAATTTGCAGACAGGATGTGTAACTTAAAACACTCAAGGATTAGGAGTAGTCAAATTTTCCTCCAGCTTTTCTGCCATTACAGGCAATGGAAGGGAGCTACCCCAACAATGTCTCAGGAAGAAATAAGGGGTTGGGTTTTTTTCCCTCTTAAAGTCCTTCATTTGTTCCCAAACCTAACTTTTTCCTACTTTTGTCTTCACCACATGCTCTTCAGCATAACTGACAAAGAGATTTTTTTTACATGTTTCAGTGTTGAATTCAACTGTAGGCTACAAGATATGTCCTTGTATCATTGGAAAGACCCATTTGGTTAATTGCAGTGTAGCTTTGGACAAAGACTATGCATCCCATACACAACTTAGATAGTTCAATGGATCTCATTCATAAGCAGATATAATCATCTCAGTCCTCACTGACATAGACTAATTTGAATGAAGCTCACTCAAGTCATCAGACGAAGACTGATTTATGACCAAAGAGAGAATAACTAATGAAAACTGTCATGATACATCTATGACAAAGCTGAATGGTGAAAGAGTGCATGTTAGAGCAAAACTCAGATGGACTGGGCCAGTGGGAATGGAGAACAGAATGTATTCAACCAGCACAATGCATGATGCAACAAAAGCTGCTCTTACTCCTGTAAGGCTAACCTGTAGAATCTTTCCCCATATTCCAATCTACTGACCAACCCAGCAAAAACAAGCAGCATACTAAGTCCAGAGGTGTACCACTAGCATATGCACCTATCAAACCAAGTCTAAGGAACCCAAAATAAAAGATTTTAAAAAACCCCAAACATAAAACTAACAGCAGTCTTCTCAGATACGTATGTGACAGGGCATGGGAAGGCAAGAGACACTCACCATCATTCTCCAAAGCTCCCCAACCCGTGACAAAACAGGAACTGTTGTCTGGGAACACATGAGATGCTTCAGGGAGGCAGACACTGTGCACATCACTCGTGAACTCAATAGCAGAGGCAAGTTGAACAACAGCCACATCATATTCATGATCAAGGCCTAAGATGTTGTATCTTTCATGAATGATAATTCTTCGGACTAATTTTTTCTGGGTTGGAGGTCTCAGCAGAATTCCGAAGCTGGCAGTCCACCTCCTAGGATCTGTTCTTCCTCTGTAAGGTATTTGAGGTTATGTCACAGCTACACAAAACAAGATCCCCAGAGGAGCTTAGCTCTCCATTGAAAAACCAGTTATTCAACTTACTATTATCTTTCTGCAGATACAAATATCAGCAGACTCCAAAAGGTCAAAGCACCCTAAAGAGTCCTAAGGCCTCTAGGATCAGGAAGGTGCTGAAGTGCTCATGACTTACCCTTTAAAGCAGTGCGCTGCAGTCACTAGCCACGTATTACTGATCACTGACGCACCACAGCGATGGCTCCCATCGTACTGAATACTGGCCTGCCAGGGCCATTCCCCTTCCCGTGCACGCTGCCCACCAGTTATTCTCTCCTCTCCTGTGAAGGAGAATGCCTGTTTTCGTATTCCACAGCCTACCAAAGAAAAAACAGCTCCGCTTTATCTGCTTGAGGGAAATCAGGGTGTTGCTTTGGAAAAGAAAGGCCCTCATGGCTGCAGGCACAGGTATAACAGGGCAGGGGTGTCATGAGACAGCCTTCACCTAAACCAGTGCTTCCAATAGCAAGGAATCCAAGTGTCATGGTCACAAGCATTTCAGGATAGATGTGGGGTAAACAAAGTTTGGTCAAAGAGTTGCTACTTTTTCATTAAGCCCCTTTTCATACACACAAGCCCATAGGCACTCCCTTGGGAAATGAAGCCTGTATATCTGAAACACGATTTCCCCAGTTGCAGCTGTTTACCTAGTTAAAAAGATACTGCTTCTACAAACCTTGCTTGCTTTGATATTTGACCAGAGCTGTACAAAGGGAAAGGTAGCATATGCAGTCACTACTGTATCTGTGCATACAGGAACACACACAGATTATTAGGCAAAAAGACATGCATTAATAATTAATCTAAGCATTTACATTCATAATAACATGTAAGTTTCAACTAAAGTCTAAACTTTCTCAGTACTGTATGAAAAGAACATCATCCCGAGTTCTTTTTGTTTGCCTTTAAGTCTTCTTAAAAACTGAGTATGAAAATTCTGAGGAAACACCACACCAGGGGGCTCTAAGGTTTAATACACACATCACCACCAAAATATGCACAAGACAGACACTGCACATCACTTAAGAACTCAATGGAGGTAATCTTAGCATTATTTCTAACATCCCACCTGTATAGCAAAGTCAAGACCAACACAGTCAGTACAGGTTAAAGTGTCACAGAATTCCTGAAGGCTAGTTTGCAAAAACACCACAGAACCAAACAGAAAACCCCACCCACAAACTAGGCAAACAAAGAAGGGATTTTGTCAGGTCACCTCCAGGTAGAGCTTTGACACCAGCAACAAAAAAATAGCATCCTCTTCCAACAGTTTACTTATAGCCACTGTACCAACAGCACAGGCATGTATTGCTCAGCTGAAAAAAAAACCCACTTAGCTCCAAACCAGTTAATTCCCAGAGTCCATTTAAAGATGGGAAACTAAAGACCAAAAGCTCTGAGACCATGCAGGGGACTGATGGAGTCCCCTGGGAAGGGATTTAAACTGTCTCCCTCTTTCCAGATGAGCTATAAGACCCCACAGGGGAGCAGACAACAGGAGAGGGACTGAGAACCTGCCCCTCTCCAGGGCTGTGCCACTGCCTTGGGCAGCTCTTCTCCCTCCCCTGCGCTCTGGCCTTTCGCTGTATATTGCCAGGTTTGGCTCAAATCTGACAGACAGCTATGGCCAAACCTTTCCAAAGAGAGGAAGGGGCAGGAAGGAAAATCTTTTTTGAAGGCTTCCAGTGAGAATCCTGGTCTCGTGCAAAGCTCACTAACAGCAGCTCATCTACTTGTCCCTACTTTCTATAACCAACATTAAAGCAGGTGCTTTATACTTTTGCACCACCAAATCAGAATGCCTGATTCTGCAAACAGTATAGAGTCAGACTGACTGCAAGCAAATAAGCTGAAGTCTTCCCTGGCTCTGTCTACTGCTCTAGTATCTTTAACAAGCTATTTTTTCCACTTGCATCTCAAAAGCGTAAGAATCTTGTAAACACAGAACCTATAGCACCATGTCCCTGGGGTTTTTCTATAAAGCATTTGTACTTACAGTTGTTTAAAAGGTTATCTCCTTTTTCCTTATTCAAGTCTGGAATGAAAAGCAAACACACAGTGAGTACATCTTATACTGCTTTGTGATTTAGCACAGGCTTCCTCCCTACACTCAGTATATGCAAATTAAATGGTTTACATTACTGCATGAAGTGACAGTATAGTAAAAGGAGCAATTTGCTGTGTTGGAGAAGTTCAGTTAAGCATCTATTCCTCACTGAAAGCACGAGGCCAGAGGTTACGTCTTTCTTGCCATAGCTCAAAGCTAGCAAAAGCAGCAGATGCCTGAAAATAGGTCCAAGTAACATCTATGTGTATATTGTGTACAATCACCAGCAAATGCCTACATACGTTTGTTCAGGTTCAGTATGGCAAGGTGGTCAAAACACTCTTCACAAATCCTTAGTGCTGGGACTGACTGGAGCTAAACTAACATTACTGATTTCTTTCCTTCAAAAAACTCTGCCAAATTCTGATGGCAGCCACCAACAGATTCATGGGAGATGGTTATTGACCCAGGGAACTTCAGGTTTTGTTATGAACACTTGCTAACGCAATTTGTCAAATAAGCAAAGGAGATGCCAGGGGTGGAGAAGGTAGCCATCTCAGCTGTGCATTTTTTTAGTAGTTTGAGGACTCTGCATTTCAGTACCTGGTGATGCAGGTGCTTGTCCAATTCACTGTGTGCCTTAAAGTAATCTGTTAGCCTATGGTCACAAAGTTGGGGCTTTTTTTGATGAATTGGGGAGGTGTGGGGGGGGACAGGACATGACCTCATTCAATCAACAGGGCTACAGGTCACAGAAAGAAAGATTTCTGTGCACAGAAGAGAGCTCACTCATAAATCAGTGCCAGTATGCTTTAGTTCTTTTCGTGATAGTTCTTCCAAGTTCCCAGGCTGTCAGCAGTAATATACCATTTTGAGAAGGCAAAAGAAGAAAATAAGAATAGACTATACTTGCATACTAAAGTTACACTCATTACACTAAGAACAGCTAAGTATGAGGAACAAATTCCAAGCTGAAAACATAAACCTAAGTCACTTGCCTGTAAGTCTAAGGGTAGACTCGTCAACATTCAAGAATGTCGAGCTTGATTTCAGCCTTCTGCGTAACACATCGTTAATGTGACTCCAGCTTGTTGCCTTACTGTCAGCCGAGGCAAATTTAAATACCAGAACAACAGATGCAAGCACTCCACCAGCATCTGGGCTGCAAACCAACAAAAACAAAGTGGTTTCATTCTCTTTCTTCTCCCACTAATCCTCTTTGTTCTGCTTTGCACTGTATGCCTTCTTTATGTAAGAACAGGTCTGGTCTGCACTGATGTTTAGAACAAATAGCATAGCTGTGCACAAGCAAAGGAAGATGATGACATGTCAGCAGGCAGCAAAAGGCTTGGTTCTTGCTATAACAGTGGGAGTATTCCCCACTGTTCCCATATTCCCAGTATTTTTGGGCAACTGTTATAGGCAGTACAGCCGAGGAGGAGAAGCGGGGTCACTCCCTTTGGCCTCCGCACAGCTCGCCATAAGGAGGACAATACAGCAAATTAAAACCCTTCAATAGACACCCAACAGGCCATTCCTAAAAGCCATTCAAAAGACCAGTTTAGAGCCATGGAAGTTAAAGAGGTCTTTTGGCATTTCTTTCCATTTAAGTCACTTGTCCATTTATTGGTCACTTAGGTCCATTTATCTAGAGACAAAAAACTCTATAGCTTGAGTTATCAGAGCAAGGCATGATCACTTACTGTCAGTATAAAATATTGGGCCAAATATTTTAGGCTAGCAGTCTAAAGGAAAGCCAGCTAAAGCCTAGAGGGAATGACAGCAGAGATGCAGCTAAGCTTGTCCAGTGCATAGTTACAGATACCTACAACATATCTGTAGTGGAAACAAGCTTGGAAGAGATACACTGCCTGGTAAACCTAAAAGGTTTGCAAGCTCCCAGGTTCTGCAGTTTCAGTTGACATACAGTATGGAGGCTTATGGAAGAAACCAGCAGTAGAAAACAATGTCAAACAGTTTAAGGAAATTACTCATTCCATCTAGAGATAGGCAAAGGCAAGAAAGCCCAGAAGTGCTGCAAAGGACATTTGTGGGCAGTATGGCATTCTTTGCTGTCTAAGAAAAATACTCCACAGCAGAATCAAGCCTTATAGAAATACATCTCCAAACCAAAAGTAATGTGAAGGAGAGGGAAGCAGTGGCTGTTATTGCTGAGACTGATACATAATTACTGCAGAGACAGGAAAGACTTAAAAATTCTTACGTAGGACCTTTATACCTTTATGTCCCACTTACTTCTTTCCCTCAGCTTTGTATCCAGGTATCTGACAGTGGAATCATTTATTCCTTCAGACGTTTTCAGAGACGGAGGAGAATAGTCATCTCCTGCTGTCCACCATGCAAAGGGGCAAACACCAGCCTCCAAAACCAGTTTCCATAGGAAGCATTAAGTAGAATAAAGAGCAACCATGCATCTCTCAGTCCCTTAACTAGTAGTAAAGACTGGGATCACCTAGTAACTTGGTTACTGCATCACAGCTGTAAACAACTGGTGATCAGGTAATCAATCTGCAGAAGGCTAAGGCAAATTTCTCTTCCATGCTGACCTCTGAATTTAACTGAGCCCTCAGTGTTGTGGGCACTGAAGTAGAGCAACAGCCAGCCAACTTAGCCATGCCGCTGGTGTAATCCAACCATAAACCACCAGGCACATTCCATATGGTCAAGGGGAAGGAAGAAAGGATATTTATCACATTCTTGCTTATTCTTGACCTTCACATTACTTACCTTAAACTGACAACATGGGACCTGATGTACCTTCTACTTAGAAAGGACCCATTGAATACTGCAGACATCTGTTAAGTAAAAAGAATGTGTTAAACCACACCTGTAATATGCACATGCTCTCAAGATACAACAGTCTCATGAGCCTCTGAAACACAAGAAAATGCCTTTAGAAGTCCATCTCTACATCAAAGCTACTGCTAAATTTCCATCAGAGGGTGCAGAACCAAAATAGACAGCTGAGTTGGCCAATTTTATTGTCCCTTCTGCTTTTGGGTCCCTGTTCCACCACAGAGCTACTGGAACAGGCAGCACCTGTGTTTACCATCTGTTTGCACACAGTCAGCAATGCATCTTTAAGCCACTACAGCAAGGTTTGAAAGGAAAGTAGCATAAGGATGAGGCACAATCACCTCTATTTCCAATGACACAGTCACAGGACTCTTCACCATAGGTCAGGCAGAAACAGAGAAACAGCTTACCATGGTTTCAACTTCTTGGCTCAGGTGCCTGAAGTCTTCTGTGGTTTGCTTTTCATACTGAGGGTCATACTCAACATTGGTGATTAGGAAAGTTGCATTGTAATATCGGTCCTGATCTAGAGGAGAAGAAAAGCAAAGGTGGCTGATCTTCTGCAATACAATTCAGATGTGCACAGGATGTCACAGAGTATGGCACAAGTAAGGCTTCCAGGCTCTGGCTGTGACCCTATCAGCTGTGGAATTACAGCTTTATCAGCACTTTGGGAAAAGGGAGCTCTGGACAATACCCATGGAAGCACTGGGGTAAGATAAGAAACAAGAAGAGGGACAAAACTTAAATCCCTACTTAATACTTTAAGCATTCTGGTAGGTTTTCTAATCAATTCAGATCTTGAATAGGGTGCAGTTAGTTTCCTCATGCAGATTCTATACCGGGGGTGAATTGTGTACTTAAATCATCATGCAGGACCACAGTAGGAAGTGAAACACACTGAAGACTTGAGACGACCAAAAGAGTAGTGCACTTACCATGACATAAAAAGTATGTAATCAAGCCAATGATGAGGGCTAACACTACTATCACTGACACAACGATGACTGCTATCTTCCATGGCTCCATACGCCTTATTGCTCTGTCCATCTGGATCACTACCTGCAGTGAAGAACATGGAGAAATTACTCTATTACACAGGCAACAGCACATCCTGAAACAAATCATATCTGGCACAGCTTAACTCAGCTGACAAACCTCACAGAGTGAGGTAGGTTGGGAAGGACCTCTGGAACCTGTGGGTCTGACCTTCTGTTCAAACCAGGTCCCACTACAGCAGGTTGCTCCAGACTTTGTCCAGCCAAGTTTTTAGTATCTCCAAGGACAGAGACTCTCCAGTCTTCCCTCAGGAGTCCCGATCCAGTTTCTGACTGCTCACATGGCAAAAGCTTTCTCTTTATATTTAGTTAGAATTTCCTTTGTTCTAACTTGCTTTCATTGCCCCACATGCACCCCTGGAAAACCTTTGAGTTGTGCAGGTATTGCTAGTAGAGACAACTTCCCATTAAGAAATATTAAGCAGATTTCAAGTGCAGCTGACTGCCCACACAGGTGCTTAAACTGAACATAAATGTAATAATTTATGACTGATTAAATAAATTCTGAATCAAGAATAATCTAGGCTACTGGAGATGCCACATAATATACAGCTTTGAGTTATTTTTAGTTGATATGAGTAGTAACATTTATTGATCCCCTACGGGGTTTAGGTTTTATTGCACCAAAACCACACATACATTGTAAGAGACCACATCCTGTTTCCTGCCAGACAGTCTGTCAGAGGGGAGAGAAATAGCTACTTATGTGTAAATGTGCTATGGAAATAATCCCTGGACTTTGTGACTCACAGGAAGTCAACAGCAGACCTGTAAAAGGGTCAGGAACTTTACTTACACATGGACAAAACCACATAAGCATTTTTCTTCCACTTATGTTCTCCTCTACAGCATTAAGCAAGAAAACATTAGGAAAACTGCATTTGCATTTGTCCTCAGGAGCTTTGTTGTAGGATGGTGCAGAGCCTTAAGCACAATTATATCAGATCCCCAGTAATTCCACAGCACACTATGTAGTAATTGTCATGCCTCTCACTAAGTCCCTGCATCAATGGTCAGCATTAGTACGGGGTAACAGAAAAATACACGGGATAACTTCTCAAGGGTGCCTGGAGTGACAAATAGCAGCAGCCCACTCTGGGGAGGAGGGGCTCAGCTGCCTGTCATGCTGTTTTACATACACTGATCCACGTTTTGTATTGCTGTACACCAGACACACTAAATACTATTTTCCTCTTTCCAGGCACAGCCATTTCTGAGCAACATCTGAGAGAACAAGGGCAGGAAGGGGCAGAAAGGAATGCAGAGAGAGTGTGTCTTTACAGGTTTTCTAACTACAAGGTGGTAAAAAAGAAATCACAGTGAAAGCAGAGCCCAGGTTGGCCAAGATTACTGCAAGCTGCAGTAAGCACGTAATATACACACACTAGAGCTGAACTAGTTCCATGGGAGCCTTGACTTCTCGTCATTTAGACCTTCACTATATACACTATCCATTACCTCTGAGGGTTTCACAGATGCAGAGACTCAGATAGAAACCTAAGACCAGAGGTACTGTCCTGCCTCAGTTTCTTTAACATGCTTCAGCCTCCCATGGACCATCCTCATCTCAGTCTTTTCACAGTCCCAGCTCATGGAATTGCAGCATTCTTTATTAGCAGCCAGTTTCTGCCATGGAGTGCAAGCCCCTTGGCTAACCACAAGAGCCCACTATGCCCCTCCTTAGATAGCCACATCTCATGTTTTAAAAAGATTCTGATTTAGCATCTCACTTTGCTCTCCTCACTGGAGAGATTTTGCTGAGCCCCTGCCATATAGCTCAATCAGCCTGGTTCCCTGTGCCTCAGTGTGCTCCCACCTGAACAATCCAAGCAACAACCTTCCATTGCTCTTAACACGGAGAACACACAGCACAGCCCCGATGGTATATGGCTGACCCTGCAGGTATTGAGGCACCAGTACTCTTGTTTCATACATTTTCAGTTTCTTGAATTGTACACAGATTTCCTCAAGATGTGGCCTTATGCCCAAGATATGATAGGTGTAGACTCACACTTGAAAAATGAGCACCTCACTGCTCGTGGGACTCATGCTCTGACAGGTACCATTATCCTCCATTTCAATCTGTCTCTGTTTCCTTTTCATTCAAATAGCAGCTACATTAAACAAACACTGGCAGCACAGACCCCCTTCTCCAACATTTCAGAACTGCTTTCTCTCCACGGGTCTTACAGACTTGTGGGGGGAAACAGACACTTTAGGAACTGCTGCAGTGCTGGTGGAAATGGAAACATGGGAGATGAGGGATAAAAACCTCCTCCACTTTCATTGTGAATCACATTCCTCCACTTCATTTAACTTTAATTTTTTTAAAGAAAACAGTTTAAAATATGCACTTCCATAAATTTCTACATCAGAATCAATCACAACAATTAAGGTTGGAAGGACCTTAATGATCACCTAGTTCCAATCCCCTGCCATGGGCAGTGACACCTTCCACTAGAGCAGGTTGCTCCAAGCCCCGTCCAACCTGGCCTTGAACACTGCCAAGGATGGGGCAGCCACAGCTTCCCTGGGCAACCTCTTCCAGTGCCTCACCACCCTCACAGTAAAGAGCTTTTTCCTTATATCTAATCTAAATCTACCCTCTTTCAGTTTAAAGCCATTACCCCTTGTTCTATCACTACTTACTCTTATAAAAAGTCCCTTTCCAGATTTCCTGTAGGCCCCTTTTAGGTACTGGAATGCTGCTATAAGGTCTCCTCCGAGCCTCCTCGTGTGCAGGCTGAACAAACCCAACTCTCTCGGCCTGTCTTTGTAGGGCAGGTGCTCCAGCCCCCTGATCATCTTTGTGGCCTCCTCTGGACTTACTTCAGTGGGTCCACATCCCTCTTGTGTTCTTGGCCCCAGAGCTGGATGCAGTACTGCAGGTGGGGTCTCACCAGAGCAGAGGGGGAGAACCACCTCCCTCGACCTGCTGGCCATGCTCCTTTTGATGCAGCCCAGCATAGGATGGCCTTTTGGACTGTAAGTGCACATTGCCAGATCATGTTGAGCTTTGCATCAACCAACATCCCCAATGCATCAACAACCAACAACCACCTCATCTAGGTAATTAATATAAATTAAAATGAAAATACTTTTTCAACGCAAAAATGTTTCCTGTTCCTTTTTTTTGGGGGGTCTATTTTATCAGCAGACATGCTGGTCACCAGCAGTGCAAAAGTGTTGGGAAAGAAAAACTCTCCTTTTCTCAGCTTTTTCAGGAAATACCTAAACTTTTGCCACCCATTTCAGGAATCGGTATGAATACACGGAATACAGAGTCTTGTTTGGCCCAAAATCAACTATCCTTTACTCTTTGAAGAACAGCTTGAGTACAGGCAACACCAACTGTGTATTGCTTGCATTAGAGCAGCATATATTTCCAATAATGCCCAGGAGTTCTAGCCTTTGACACTCTCATGCTAGGGTCTGTACTCACAAAACAAACCAAACTCACACCTAGGTCTGGTTTTGAGCCTTCCTTTGCTGAAACCTACTTGGCTGTTTAGTGACAGTTCTTGCTCAGGTTATGTCCACTCAATCCATTCAGTAACATTAATCACAAATGTTACATCTCCAACTCACTCTTTTGCTATTATATCATGGAGGGCAGGATTGTCATGCTCTTCCAGAAGGACAAGGATCCTTGTGCTTGGGACATCTATCTCTATAGTTAAATAGTTCAGTTGCAGGTGGATCCCCCTATTTAGGAATCAGACTTCTGCGTGGTCTTATCTGCACTCTAGTAATCAAGTAATCTCTGCTCCACCCAGCAACACTCAACAGCCAAAAAACTCTGATCCTCTGTGGTGTTGATGAATACAGAGGCAGAGATGATCTCACCACCTTCAACCACAGATGCATCATTTTTTTCTTCTGTGGCAAGGAGGCACAGCTTAATGGATAGTCGTGCTCCTCAGAAGACCCTCCCCAATACCACAGCTGTCTGTGTAGATGCTTTCCAGAGTCAGGTGTCCTGTACAGCCTCACATTTCTTGTCTCCTTATATCACATGCTTTGATTTTTTTTTTTACCACCCTAACGCTATTAAACTGCAGGTTAACTCTCAGGAATGCAGACAGGGGAATTCAGGTAACACTAATGCTTTCATCTTCTGGTATGGATGAGGATAACTGCTATTCCTCAAGAGCAAACCATAATGAGATCAGAAGCCAGACTCTACCAGGAGACCTCAAAGGCTGAGTTGTCTTTACTCTAAAAACCACCTCCTCACAGTCTGCATCTGGTAGCTTTCTGTCTGCAGTGAATTAGCAAGAAGTTTCAAATCCAACACTTCGTAGTTCACTACAAAACTTCTTGTCTTGGCAATACTATGGATGAACATCAGACCTCCTATAGCAACTCCTGCTCTCATTTAAAACATGCTTCATTCCCCAGGAGCTCAAAACACATCTATGGAGACAGCAGCATCTGACAATTTCGTATCACAGCTCATTTAGTGTATAAACTAGGAAATTCAAACTATTCAATTGCCTAGATTACACACCCTAGCTTTGACAAAGAATGTGTTTTGATCACTAAAAAGTTATTCCATACTGAAGAAATGTCATCTGAATGGACTTATTTTGGAAACAGCTGATGTATGAAGTTAAATTATTTGAATCATAGTAAAGTTGTGTTTAGAAACAGATATATTAAATCAAACCTCAGTATGCAATATTTAAATAAGTGCAGTACAGCAAGAAATAAAGTTGCATTAATTATTATTGGCACATTAAGAAGAGCTGTACTGAAATTTTACTAGAATTCTCTGGTCTTCCTTGTGAAGCCAAGGAGAAAACAGGATTTCTGGTTGAAATTTTGATCAACCCCAAATGAATTCTCTACCTTCCAATTTGGCACAAGTACCCAAAAGCAAAAAACCAGCACAATTCACAGGTCACAAGCTGGTTTTCTCCTCTCATGCTTTACCAAACTCCCTAAAAGTTTAAAAGTTCATTCACAGTGAAAATGATGAAAGTTCAGCTCCCACCTCTGCTTGGACAGGATTTAATTCACTATATTGAGCTTATCCGCCTCTTCTGGTAGAGCTACTGTGTGTTATCAAAAGCCTCAGTAAGAACAATACCAGAAAACTCATCAGAAAATGTCTGTTCAGACAAGAAAAGGAAGTGTAACTTTATCACCTGTATCCTAGAAGGCCCTAGTCACTGAACTGCTGGATAAGCAGGGAACAGCTACCCTGGGTTTTTTTACAGATCTACTCTTGGACGTTTTTTGACTTCTTAAGCTAAGCCCTCACAGCATCCCCAACCTAGATTTGCTTTCAGATTAATCTAAACCATATTTTCTGGCACTAGCAGTTTACTGAAGGTGTTTTGCCATGCACTGAATAGAGAAGGTTGCATATTTTCTTCTATTTGATCTGCTGCTGGCTTCCTATAATAAATTTATTATTATATTTTTTATTTTAGACCCCTGTTCACTCATACTCCAGTACTCTCAGAAGAGTCAGTGTCAGAGCTTGGATGGCACATCTGCTGATGAGAGTCTCTTCACATTTATAGCCATGCCATGACCGGTTTGTCCATTCAAGGATGGATTCAGGCATGCCCCTATAAACATTCTTGCTAGGAATGGGACTTTTCAGAAGACAACTGAACAGACTAATCTGCTGGCATGGTGAGTGAAGTTCAGACAAGGTCCCTGAAGCTATCTACCTTGGCATAGTGGTTGGGAACAGCAGCAACTAAAATACATCTGGCTTAGTCCAGGAGTGCTGTAGCAAAAGCACAGGGCCATGAGGCAAGACATGCTATTTCTGCTCCCACCTTTGCCACAAACAATCACACCAACCTCATACTACTCCTCCGATCTTGTGGCATACTGAGGACACACAGTTCTAAGATAATCAGAAAACCACCTCTACGTTTGGGCATTGAAAAAGAAGCAGCTAGTGCCTGCCTAAGTACTATGAGACCCTTGCTTGGATGAGGTCAGTTACCAACCTCAATGACTCAGTGCTTAATATCTCCCAAAGCTGATACAATGGAAGACTTCCAGACATTGAAAGGATCTACTGAGGGAAACAAAACTTGTGGTGTTCTATGCGTCATGCTGAATCAGCTTGATCTCCCCACACCCTTGAACACACCACAAAAACAGTAGGTGCTGCATGCCACCCCTTTGCAGTCAGATAAAACATCACTAATGTATTTTCCACTTACTAACTGAGCTCCTCCTCAACCATCCAATTCTACTAAGATTGTGATGCTTACCAGGAGCACATTTCAGCTGGGCAAAGACAACAGTTCCAAATACTGTTCTTATCATTTTCATGAAGATTCAAGGGCAGCATTCAATCTTTGGGATGTGTTAACTCAGAACTTACCAGTAACTGTGCCCATGACGCAAAATGCTGTTCATATACTATTTTAGCACCTTTGAAGTCATCACAAAAAGTCTATTGTTTGTTATTTTTCTCAACCATTTTGCATAGAGCTTTTTGAAGGATATGAGATCTTTAATTGTTGGGACAGAGCTAAGCTTCCCATACCACTATGACAGTCTGGGGAATGTAACTAACATCAACAACTGAAATATCCTTGTTCAATAGAACATCTTTCTGTACTTGATTGCCACAGCCAACATCTTGAGAAAGTCTCCTATGTTCTGAAACAAGATGTAGTAGAACTAGGAGAGCTACTCACTACACAAAGACTTTAAAATTTCCATGAACATGCAAGAGGCCATCCCTGTATGTAGGAAATACTAAGTACATGGCCACTGATTGCAATCAGTTTAGGATAAGGTTCTGCAACTTCTACATCACCTTTACCTTTCAGATTTCCATTTCCAGTTACATTTATTATGGACAATGTATCTTATTCTGTCAGTTTGGCAGTCCCAGATTATAGAAGATCTCTGCTTCTCAGCCTTTGAAAATAGCTCTGCACCATACAGTTCTCCCTTCATCCTATTTTGACTGCTTGAAATCTGCTCCAGGAGTGAGATACAACAGTTATAGTCTTTGTGGATTTTCAGTTTGATTTTCATTCCAGGGCAGGGCGGGTGAAATGGTCTGGTGCCAGATTTGGTGCATTTACAAGCTGATTCTGCACAGATTAACACTTCAGTGGCTGCATACAAAGCTCATGAAAACAAAAAAGAGCACAAGAAGCTATTTTTATTTTCTTTACTCCACTCACCCTTTTGTACCAGGTTATCAACTCAGCAGTTGTGACCACAACACATTCTAACTGCACTAGCACAAGCAGATCAGAGTTGGGGTGCAGTGAGATGACTCTCACCTGCTTCTCCACCACAACTTTCAGTGGCCATAGGCCACCTTAGTTTGTCACCATACAATGCTGTAGAGGAGCTGAGGAATAGCTGGAAAATAAATGCATTTTGGGTGAGGAGAAAGGGTGAAATATCAGAAGGATTACTGATGCATAGAAGGCAGCTCAAATCAGAAGAAAGCTCAGAGCTAGCATCATTCTCCCCACACCCTCACATAAAGCTCAGACTGCACTATAAACTTACACATGATATAGCCATGCTGTCCAAACTACCAAGGAGAAAGTCAGAGGCTGCAGCACTCACCTTTGGGTACCACTGAGAGGTCAGCAAGAAGCTCTTTTGTCTGGGAGATGCACTGTCCCAAATGCCACAATGCACTGTGCAGCATCTCAGCATAGACTTGAGGCTTTATCTCCCAAATTAGGAAAGAAAGGAGTCATAGGCAAGTCAGAACAAACAAGTCCATCAAGTCTTAGTGACAGAGGCTTACCTAGTAGTATGATTCCTCCCCTAAAACAACAACAATACACTTCTTTCATCACACCTTTCATCCAGGAATCCCATAGACTTTTCAGAGCATTAACTACACCCTGCAACACCCCAAATCAGAAAAGCCTTGAAAATTTTGCAAGGGTGCAGAGTTTTATTTCCTTCTTCAGTGTAATTAAAAGCAAACCAGGTATTATGGGCAGGACCAATGCAGAAAATTTGCGTGTTCTAAAGAGACAATGTTAGTGCTAGGCCAGATACAGAACTGATAAACTGATGCAGAGTCAGTGGCACATGCCTCTTGACTCCCTTGAATTTCCTTGAAATTGATCATTTGGCCAGAAAAGAACATGCCCCAATAATAAGAGGTACATTCAAGTTTGTCATTCTTCTCTAACTCCTTAGATGTTAATTTTAATTGTGGCCACCTAGCCACATACATAGCTCTGTCCTGGAAAAATTCTTCTAGGTCATAAACATTTGTGATAAATATTTGCAGGTTGCCTAGATAAGCATTTCTACTTGTGCTAGTTACAGCAAGTTAACTGGCAAGTCAATTAACACAAGTACAAACTCTAACCTAAAGTAGCATTTCTCAATCTTTTCTTGGGAACCCTTTTTTCAAGCTCTCAGTTCCACCAAACTTACTAGAAGATACATATGCCCACATAGCTTTACACACAGATTTGGTTCTGACGGTAAATAAAGAAGACAGAACGTCACAACAAAATGTGTGGCACATATTTGCTTTTCTGCAATCAAGTTTCTAACATCTCTTTTCCTCTACCTTAATGACCTTCATTTGACCCCTCTACAGCTCAGGGATCACCAGCTTAGTAACACACTCATGCAATTACATCTTACACATCTGGAACTCTTCTTTCCATGTTATGTCAAGTTGCCAGCCAAGTAACAGGAAGACTGCCTTTCTGGGAAGGCCAGCTTCTTTGAATGAAACATAGGCTAAAGATAAGCCTCAGGTTCTCATAATTTGGATTCAATGTCTCAGCATAATTTGTTACGAAACACAATGAATAGTGTTGATACGGATGCACGGAATGTAATTGCTTCTCAATACTTTAGCTGGAAGCTGCACTGCCATCCCGTACAGAAACAATTCTATTGAGCCAGTCCAGATATGCAAGAGAAATGCAGTCATAAGCCTACCTAGAGGGTGATAGTTTCCAAGGGTAAAGCACCAAGTGCCATATGATTACCTGACTCACATGTAGGTGGTGGGAAGACATATTAATTCCAGGCAGCCCATGATCCTCAGAGACAGAGACCTTTCTTGTGATTTGACTGAGGAACAAGTGGAAGACATACATGACAGAGGCTTCATGGCAATCTCTGAATAGTCTCATCTGCAGGCAAAAAACACACTATTGCTGCTTAAGGAAAGAGGTTAAACTGAGGAGGCTTTTTAGGGCACTGAAAAGCTCTTCCAGGCCTAGTTCCATAACAGGGAGGTACCAAACTGATAAAGTATGTAATAATCCTGGTCACTGGTCCCCTCTCCACACAATGTGTCTATGTATCTTGTACTGATAATACTTCCCTGGAGCAGAAACCCCAGTTGAGAAAAAGGGACAGGCAATAGCTTTCAGTGGTTCAGTTACCAGTTACCTAACAGGTTTGACTCCTAATTCCAGAAACAGCATATTGGTGTGCCCACTAGTGCTACACTGACAAGCACCAAAAAAGCCTGGACTAACTGGGAAATGCTGGGAAGGAGATAGAGGTTGTGGTCCAACTGGGCACCACATAAAAGAAATTCTGGAGGCAGAACATAGGATGTCAAAGACCTGGACCCCCATCATAACACAGCTAGTGAGGAAGCAAAGTCTCAATGCACAACTAAAGCAATGGAATAAAGAAAAGAGGCTCAGGTTCATCAGGGACTGGGGAAGCTTCTAGAGTAGATTAACCCTAGCAAAGGATGACCAGATTTCCACCTGAACTGAGAAGGAAAATGAATCTGCACTTCACGTAAGATCATACAGAAATTTCTCCAGGAGGAAATGGAGACCTGGTTAGCCAGGACATGGAGAAGGCTGGAGGTACTCAATGACTTCTTTGCCTCAGTCTTCACTGGCAAGAATTCCAGCCACACTGCCCAAGTCACAGAAGGCAAAGGCAGGGACTGGGAGAATAAAGAACCACCCATGCTGTAGAAGACCAGGTTCTAGATCATCTAAGGAACCTAAAGGTGCACAAGTCCATGGGACCTGACAAGATGCATCTGTGGGTCCTGAGAGAGCTGGCAGATGAAGTTGCCAAGCCATTATCCCTTGCATTTGAGAAGCTGAGGCAGTCTGATGAAGTTCCTGTTGACTAGAAAAGGGAAGAAGGCTGGGAAAAGGGAGCTACAGGCTGGTCAGGTTCACCTCAGTGCCCAGCAAAATCTTGAAGCAGATCCTCCTGGAAACTAATCTAAGGCACATGTAAAATGAGGAGGTGACTGGTGACAGCATGGCTTCACTAAGGGCAAATAACGTCTAACAAATCTGATGGCCTCCTATTATAGGGTGACAGTGCTGGTGAACAAGGGAAGAGTGACTGACATCATCTACCTGGACTTGTGCAAAGCATTTGACACTGCAGTCCTGTACCTTGGCTGGGGAAATCCCAAGCACAAATACAGGCTGGGCAGAACCTGGACTGAGAGTAGCCCTGAGGAGAAGGACATGTTGGGGATGTTGGTTGATGAGAAGCTCAACATGAGCCATCAGTGTGCACTCACAGCCCAGAAAGCCAACCACATGCTGGGCTGCATCACAAGAAGCATGAGCAGCAGGTCAAGGGAGGTGATTCTGCCCCTCCGCTCTCATGAGACCCCACCTGCAGTACTGTGTACAGCTCTGGGTCCCCAACACAAGAGGTACATGGACCTGCTTGAGCAAATCTAGAGAAGAGCCATGAAGATGCTCAGAGGGCTGGAGCACCTCTCCTATGAAGACAGGCTGAGAGAGTTGAGCTTGTTAGCCTGGGGAAGGTTCAGGGGAGATCTTGTAACAGTCTTCCAGTACCTAAAGGGGGCCTACAAGAAATCTGGACAGTGACTTTTTAAAAGAGTAAGTAGTGCTAGGATAAAAAGTTTAAACTGAAAGAGGGTATATTTAGATTAAATATAAGGAAGCAGCTCTTTACTGTGAGGGTTGGTGAGGCAGTGGAAGAGGTTGCCCAATGAAGTTACGGATATTCCATCCCTGGCAGTGTTCAAGGCCAGGTCAGATGGGGCTTTCAGCATCCTGGTCTAGTGGAAGGGGTCCCTGGCCAGGGCCCAGGGGTTGGAATTAGATGATCATTAAGGTCCGTTTCAACCCAAACCATTCTATGTTTCTATGAAATTTCAAACTGACAAGTACAAGAAAGTAGACTGGTGCACACAGGATGCACTGTTCTGAATCCTGTGGTAAACACTGCAACCTCAAGAATAGGATGGAAGTTGACAAAAGCCAAATAGAAAAAAAAAAAAAAGGTAGTAAGAAAAGTCTGCTATGAACAGAATAGCAACTGAAATCCAAACCAATGTTTTCCATTTCACAGAATTCTCCAAGATAATGGTGGCACAGGCCCAGAATACTCACCTTAAGCAAGGACATGGACACAGCAGGTATAAAGGAAACATGGTGACAGAAAGGCTATGAAATGTAGAAATCCCAGGGAACTATTATTTCCAATTGTTTTAATTACTCTGAAGTAAAATGTGAAGCCTTTACATTGACCACTCAGATAAAACTTGACTTCTAGATGCTGTGAATAACCGTTTCATGAACAGGCAGCTAGGAATCCCACAAAATAGGAAGCAACTCTTGACCAGCACACACAATTGCTTTATCATATTTCTGTCATACACCCGAACAATCTCAGCTTGGTGTACAGCCTCTCACCCAAAACTACTTTGTTCAGAAGACCGAGAGAAATCTTTCCAGAAAGGCATTCTAAAGCAAGCATGGGGAACATTTGGTGGTGCAGTGTGATATACAAAGTGCTCACGTTAGCACAAGCAATTAACTAATAAAAGTAGCACATATTTCTATAAATATACTGTATGGGGTGAAATCATCACAGCTTTGGTAAAGCAAAGTGCTGCCTTGCAAACTTACCTCAGTTCCTGAGGAGGCCAATAGCTGGTGCATGAGGCAGATCTGATTGATAAGGTCTACTTGGATTTCCAAAAGAAATTAAGTAAGCTCTCTCACAAAAGCCTCTTGAAAGATCTGAACTGTCATGGGATATGAAGTCTTGAGGTGGAAACCCACTTAAGAGAGAAAACAGGAAATAAATTACAATGCTTTTTGTGAAGCCAGGTCACTATCTCACAGGAATCTTCCCTGTATTCATAAACGGTCTGAAAAAGAAATACTGAGATGACAATCATCCAGTGATAAATCTACTCATGACAGTAAAGAAAAAAACTACAACATGCTGCAGAAACATCTCAGAATATTGAGATACTATGTAATAAAACAACAAATGAACTTTGGAATGAAAAAGTATAAACTGACACACATATAGAAAAAACAGCCCTAACCTTACCCATAAGTGTCAGGTAGTTATTCTTTTCAGGAGTAAGATTGAGGCAGAATGTCCTGTGAGAATATGAACTCAGAAAGAAAACAAAAGGAACAGTAGAAACTGCTTGTAAAGAGAACCAAAAAGGAAAAAAGGGAACAAATATATCACAACATTAATCCATGCCTTTATCCTTAACACTGCATTAAATTATACCATTTGCCCACCTTAAAGCCAAATACAGAGGAACTGTAAAAGGTCCTGAAAGAAGGCACACAGCTGATCAAAGGAACATAGCAGCTTCTATGCACTGTATGCCTGAATAGAGCAGGATTCTGCAACCTGAAAAAGGCATGGAGGAAGGGGTAGCAGACTAAAGAGTAATATGT